TTAACAGAATTTCTTTGTATTTCTAAAGAGTTTGGCATAGTTTCGGAAAGGAAATCAAAATAAAAACAAATAACAAATCTTATTTTTTTAACTTACCTTTTTAATTCAGGTTCCAATGTCCGATTTGGGCATATAAACAAATGCCTAAATCTAAAAAGTGGTGAAACCGCAGCCAAAAATAGATGTGGTCTTCTACCGCCATTCTTTTCGCCGGGGACTGTATAAGAAAAATTGTTAAACAGGAACTATTATAAAATTTTTGTTACTTCATAACATGCAAGTTTATAGAACCAATCAGATGCAGTGATAGCATTAAATAAATACGAATCTAAACATGAAAAATAAAACTTTTTACTCATCTGTCTTAATAAATTTAAAGGATTCGATTTCTAAAAAGATTACATTTTTTTATTAATAAAGAAAGGCTGAAACTAATAGAGTTTTTCAAAAAGTTCAATTGCACATCGAAGAAAATGGCTGTTTCAAATTGGTATACTGCTTTTAGGAAGATCCTCATAAATCATAAAGATGATCTTAAGCTTATTAATATCAAGTAAACTATAAAGATGGTAAATACAAGTAAGCTATTGAAGATTATTTTAAAACAAGCATTCTTGAAAAGGAAAAGGTTTGTCAAATGTGTTTGTGATGTATCATGTCTAAGATTTATGTTTTCTAAATTCTTTCGCAATTTGTCAGATGTATATTAACAAAAAAAATAAGCAAAGCAATCCAAAAACGCATAGGTAGTGATGTGCATTTTATGCTTCTAATAGTATAAAATTTGATTGGAAACTTTCAATCTAAATGAATTTATTAGATAATTATGTTTCCAATTCTTCTAAAGTGCTTCCAAAGGTACTTCTAATCTTCTAAGTACACATTACTGCGCATAGATGATCTCCTTCCAAAGGAAACTGGTGATCAAATTCGCCTGAAAAAACCTCATTTCCTGGAGAAGTCGTAACAGAATGATATATTAGATTCGAAAATAAATCAATCTTCTAAAGATTCTGAATATTATGATATTAGGAAATGGCATAAGTTTCTTTATTCATGGGAATATGTAATTATAAGGTTGATTTTAGAAATACTTCTAAAAAGGACATAAGTATATGATGTAGTCAATATTTCATTATATTCTCTGTATAAATATACATACTTATGTGCTTTTTCAGTAGATTTTTGAAAGTTACAATCTTTCCAATGAGTTTCAGAACTTTAACAGCTAACAATTTGATAGATCAAAAAAAACCTATATTTATGTTATAAACAAGACATTCAAAAAATTCTATAAGGTATTTTATTCTATCTGTTTCATGTAATTTTATGATCATGTTTAGCATTATATTTATTATTCTCATGTTAAAATAGTTGCCTTTTAAACATAATTCTCATTGAGTGTATAAGACCTTCATATCTTACTGTCACTTCAGCAATTTAGTACATAATTTTTCAAAGACAATTATCTACCAGTAGTGAATAATATGACTCTCAAATATTCTTCTGTATGTTACTTTTCCCACTCTCAGTTTCCAAGTTAGGTTATAAGCAGTATTAGCATCCAGATTATGTCTAATAAATTATTTCTACTAGATTGAACTGAACTGGGACTGGACTGAATATATCATAAAATATAATCCAGTCCCAATCCAGTTAAATATAATTGGAATATGTTTAATTATACTAATTAGATTAATTGTTTTATGTCTAGTAGATTAAGTAAAATGTCCAGTACAATCATATTTAATAATCTAACATTATTAGTTAATTTATTAAAAAATATAATAAATGTATTTTTATATAAATTAATTTATTAATTATAAAAATGATTTTATTATCAATTTATAAATTGTTTACATATTCAAGCACTTCTAATTCTACACTAAATAATTTTTCTAGCCTCCATTTTGCTGTAGAATCTCGTTGAGAATGCTTATATTTAAAAAGATAATTATCAATATTAAAATTCTCTATTTCATTACTTTTATCTTCTAAATTAGATTCATCATCTAATATTTCGTTTTTTAACATTTGATTCCATAAATTCATTGTTCTTTCAAAACTTAATTCATTACCAATATAATTTTCGCCACTTGTAATTAGTTGATTAAATTCATTATCATCATCATCATCGTCACTATCATAAAATCTTTTTTATCAGCATTTTGATTACCATTATCACTATTATTATTCTGATTTTTTCATTAGTAAAAGCATTATTAGAGTGATATAATTGTTTTATTTACTCTAAATCATGATTTCAATATGCTTAATCAATGACACCCTTTATTTGAGCTATTGTCAGCACTTTTTTATACTAAATAATTTTAAAATTATAATAAAATTTATAAATATTTTACTTATAAATAAGATATTTTAATAAACTTATATGCAACTGGTTTCACCTAATTAAATATAAGTGATCTATTGAAGATCATAATCATTCAACAGAAGTAGTATTTACACAAATACTTGCAATTTGACATGCTATAAAACTCAGCTCCTTTGATTTAGTTAAATGCTAATATGCAAATCTATATCTTGAAATTGATTAATATAAGAATTATTAAATAGAAAATTTTCTGATTATAATTCTAAAGTTCAAATTAAAATAGTTGTAGTTTTTTTGTTTATTTATGTAATATAATATATTAAATGTATTGACTCAGATCAACCCAATTCATTTTTGGTAAATTAATATTAAATTTTTTAAGAAAATAATGAGAATTAAGAATTCAAGAAAGAATTAACAATAGCTGTTTCCATTAATACCATCATTTTTCTAATCATTTACATAATTTAGTATATAAAATTACATTCAGATGATTAAATAAAATTTTGTAAAAATAACCAAAAGAATATAAAATATCAAAAAGTCTAGCTTTTTTTTTATAAAATATTCAGACAAATATAATAAGATAAAGTAAATTTTTGATAGAACAAACTATTTTTTAAAATTAATAGGATTGCAAATAGAATTTGATAATATTAATTCATTAATAGCTGTATTTTCATTATCAGTATTTTTACATTTATTTTTGTGATTATTATAATTGGATTCTTTACCAAATTTTAAATAATTTTCTTCAATTATTAGATCATATTAACTTACTAGATTTTATAATTAATTATAATTTTAATTATTGATTTATAATAAAAAAAAAATAATAATAAAAATATATATAATATATCCATATCTTTAAAGTATCATGTATTTTTAAATACTACTAAAATAATAATAGTAACTATTTTATTAAGTAAATTCTAATATAAGTAAATTCTGATATTTATTATACACAGATTTTTTAATTTTCTGTAATTTTCCAATAAAATAAATGTAATTTTTACTAATAAATAATTTGAAATTATAATAACTTTTTTTAAAATTTCTCTATAACTAGCAGATTCTTTAAATATTTTTCTTACATATAAATTAGTTTAATGTGTAAAATATAAAAAGTAAATTATTGATAGATTATTAAGTTGAAATATTTTTTTATTTTTATTAAAAAAATAGAAGTAAATAATTTTATTTATACAGTCGTACCTCTATATAGTCACGCAGTTAGGCACACAAAAATGGTGTGCTTATATTAATATGTGACTATATAGAGGAAACCTCCATATAGTCATATTTATAGAGATCACATAGAATTGTGATTGTATAGAGGTTAACCACTTCTATGTATTTGTTTTTATTAGATTATGTAAAATATATAAAACTGATAGACTATTGAGAATAAGAAGCATACAGATAAATTAAAACGAATAATGCAATTACAAAAAATCAATCCACCTCTTTTATATCAACTGGCATAAAAAAACTTGTAATAGTTTTTTGTTTTTTACTTTCTACAAGCTTCTGTCATATAATATTCATATATTTTCTAAAAATACGCATTTCCTCCATATTAAATTCTTTGTCATCTTGCTCTTCAAAATATTGGATCCATATTTTAAGTCTGTTAAAGTCTTCTTGTATTGTTATTGTCAAACTTTCATTGCCAGATTCGCTATTATCTAATTCAACTTTATTACATTCTTCATCCAAAACCAAACGTATAATTTCAATATCGGTTAGTGCTTGCTCTGTTGAAATTGTCAAGTCAATTGTTTCTAAATATTTATTCAATTTTAATAAAAAAGATTCATCTTGAATAGACGAAAATCTTTGCAAAAGAACTTCAATAATCTTTTGATTTTCTTGAATTG